AGATCCGAACGTGCTGCTGCACGATCATCGCCAGTCTGTCGTCCACGTTGCCGCGGGAATTCTCGCGTCCATCAATCAGATGCTCGATCGATCGTATCAGAAGCTCCAAACGGCCGTAAGCGTGCATCGCGAACACCACCGCCAGGCTGCAAGCACCGGTCGTCATGGAGTGCGCGACGAAGCCCGACACGCATTGCAGCCAGAAGAAGATCTCGTTGACGGGGCTGTAACGCACGTCGATGATCATTCTGGCGACCGGCCACATAAGCGGCTGATACGTCAGGTTCCCGTCGGGTTCCGTGATCTTGCCTTTGCTGAACGGCACGGCGATGTAATAGAACGCGGCGCTGCCGTACATGAAGAAGGCGCAGGCCGCCACGAGGCGCCGGCCGAACTTGGCGCTTTTAATCATGATGCTCCGGTCGTCGTAATACCGCGTATTCATCCAGTCGTTCTCGATGTACTCGATACCCTTGCGTATGTCGCCCTCGCGGAAGATTATCGAGGAGTATTTGACGATGTCTTTTAGACAGAAGCTCACCGCTCCGCAGATCTCTACCGTATGCTGCAGGTCCTCGGCGTCGAGCACAATGAACATGACGCACGGGATGACGAGGAAGCATACCAGACTGACGCAGATTATGTTCAGCAGCAAGTATATCGATCTATTTGCCCTCGAGAGCCCGGGTGATCGCGGCCAGGCGCCGAGCGGCTTCAGTATCCAATGATTCAGCTGGAAGCTCAGCTGCACGTCCTTCTTGTAATCGCGGTCGACCGCGACGGTACTAGACTGCCAGGACATAGCGCTTCCTCGCATCTTCGAAGCGCGCGAAAGCTCGCCAGCTACTGAGGGGGTTGCACGATAGCTGTCGAACGCGGGAAGCCGAACGTCGCGACTGCGCAGTGACTGATCTCTTTACAGTCACCATTACGCGCGATAACTTTTGTTCTGAGAAAGAAGCGATCAAACGATCGGCAGGATATGAAGGGGGAACTTTGCAGACCCAGCGACTTCCGTAAGGGGGGCTCGACGCTTCCTTATATGTCGTACCTGGTGCGTTATTTTCTGCTCAAGAAGGTGATTTTTTAGTTTATGGCGGAAGGTGGTCCTTTTCAACATTTCATTTAATTGTTTCGTTTCTAATTTTTTGATACTTCTGGCTATTGTATTCTTTAAATATCACCCCTGATGTGTTGTGACCCGGACCCCGCCGGTCGGTGGACGTTCGTCCCTACCCCGGCC